AACGCACATAATGAAGGAGCTACCAGAGATATAAGGATAGCTAGTGGTAAATGTAGAAAGAGACAATTAGACAAAGTCGATGGACAAACAAAAAGGGGGGGGGGGAAAAAAAAAAAAAAAAAAAAAAAAAAATGATCGCCGCGCGCATAAGAAACAAAAGAATTGTATATGCGTGTGCGAGCAGTTATTATTATATTCGACGGAGAGAAAAAACGAAAGCGAGTGTGAGAATGATACGTGGAGGCACCTCGCTCACCGCAACACGATAGAATGAAAAATTTTTGAGAAAACAATTTGAAAAATGGGGCGAATGACGGGCAAACTCGTGGCTAAACTTCATTTGTAATATCATTTCTTATCATATTGAAGAAAAAAAGAAAAAGTATACAGTTTTCCGAGGATAAAGCGTAATGCGTTGGGTATTCTTTCTGTGTGTAAAAAATGTAAACACCTACAAAGCCCACGATGAAATCAATGTTTCTAACTTATTTATAATAAATAATATACATTAATGAGAAAATATAGAACGATGTTGTTTTTGTATGGCTTTTGGAATATTAAAATATCCTCACCTTTCATACATTTTCCCACTAACTCTATCCGTCATTATTAATGGCTAAATCATTCATTTTTATCATAATAATACTTCAATTTTGCGCACGACGTAACAAGATCAACAACTTGCTAATTATTTAATTGCGTGTAATCAATTACATTGATTTAATCACGCGATTCACGCATTCGATCAATTCCATTACACGATCGATCCAAATAATTAACAAATGACAAGCCAAAAAAAGGTTAATTAATTGCTCGTTAATTATGTTCTTTCAATATGTGATAAACAATCGGAATGCATTCTAATTATTTATCGCGGCGTTTGTAAATATTGAAGCGGAGCAGCGACCGACATTATTCATGCAATGTGAAACAGTCAATATTATTTAGATCGAAAAAGCTCTTTTTAAAACGTATTGTTACGCATTAAGGACATTTGTAAATCCGTATAATAGATGTTGGTAAGATAATCTCATTGCTCATAAATCATGCAACGCTAATTTAATTTTGAAATAATTTTGAAAAGCTTGTAAGATATAATGGAGTAGCCGATCAAACAGCTGTGAGCCCATTTGCCGAGAGCGGCATAAAATTTTTATCCTTTCTCAATTACAGTTTATCAATTATATAACATAATTATATATACAATGATATATTATGCAAAATTAACGGTTAGTTTCAAATTTCAATATTATCCTTCCTCCATTGGCGGATTCGGATTAATGACAATCATATGCTAACTTTTAAGCCTAAATTCCAGAATTATCCGGTGCATCTCGATACTCGAATAATTTCATATTCATAATAATTAATTGAACTTTAAAATTTGTTTTGCAGAAATGTCGTATATGAATAAAAATAAATTAGTCGTACACGCGGCTATTTATATGGTATTTTCGTAAAGTGTAAGGTGTTTCTTGATTTGAACGATGAATCATATATATTTTTCCCTACGCATGAAGCCGTTTCTGGTCTATTTAACGAACCGATAAGTTTCATCAAACAATTAATGGCATTTTTTTTTTAACTTAATATTTGTTTAACATTATCCTTATAATCTAAATAAACGGTCCATTTAAGATATTTAAAAAATTCACAATAATCCATCCGTATAATTAGTATTCTTTATTAATATAAGGCCGAATGTGCTTTATTTGTTTCTTCGTTCAATAATTATTTTAAGAATTTTTATTTTAACACGTGAAATGTTAAAGTATTTGCAGGTCACGAATTCGCATAATTTTTAATAATTTTTCTTGGAAAAAAAACGTTAATTAATATTTCAATTTTGCCTATGCACGTCAATTGTAGTTCGCATATTTGATTATTATGAATATTCAAATCAATCTCTATTTTTGCTAAATTATCTTTGACATTAATATTATGCGTGTGTAAGCTTAGTTGCTCTCGGAGCTTAATTCTTCCCTAAACCCAAATTGCCTTTCAATATTTTTTTTTTAATAATAAATTCCTATCAGTTTAACATTGACATTGTGTTATATACATTTAGTCCATGTTCCATCAAATCTGAGCTACAATTATATTATTTTTCAATTATAAAATTAGTAAAATAATTATTTTCATTTGAATGAGAATTCGTTACTATATTTATATTCAATTCAATTGGCGTGTCGACGTTTTATTAACAAACAATTACATATAAATTCTATGTACAATATGAAATATATTATGTGCGTATCGGCTTTCTTGGCATTCATACTCTTCGTTATTTTTAAATACGAACATTTATAAATAAGATCTAGAAAAATATAAGAAAGAGCACAATGTTCACTTTGCAAAATAATATTATTGATATTGGCGAATGTCGTTTAATCTTTGAAGCTATTTAGCACATTCGTTAATAGATTTTTGTTGTTGTTGTTGTTGTTGTTGTTGTTGTTGTTGTTGTTGTTGTTGTTGTTGTTAGCAAACAAGTGAACAAAGGACTTAATTTTACGGATTAAAAGTGTGTTATCTACATTATAAATTTTGTTTTGTAGCTTTAATATTGGATATTTTAAGCATTTTCCTCATTAATGGGGAAACCAATATTTCAATAATAGACTTTTCCACGATTTTTTTTTGAAAGACCGGAAAAGTACTCTCCAGTCTCAGATATTTATAAGATTCAAGGGAGCTGATTATCCATTTAACTTTATCAAGGGAATGTATTTGGATTTTTTTTCTTCATTGGATATTCTTTAGAGGAGCTAACAGCTGGTTACGTCTTATCCCGTATAAATCACAAAAAATTTGTTATTTCTATTGCCTGTTTAGTTTTTCTTCAATTTAGAACAAAGTATAAGCAATAATGGGAAATTATCAGCAATGTAAATGAAGAAATAAAAGATAATACGACCAGCAATTATAGTAATTCGTATTAAATTAATTCGCGATTAAATTCTTTAAGAAAATTATTTTAGTTTAAATAAGCACGGTAATTAAAAAATAAATACAATAAGAGGTCTGCTGATGCCGATGCGGAACTTTTATTCTTTATTTGTATAAAAGATAAGGTTATAATATAATTTCATTTTCGATTTATAACTGTGCAATTAATTTTTTTGTTTACGATACTTTTCCCATACTCATATCTGAATTAAATTAAACATTGAAGACATCTGATGTTTAATTACAGTAGTTTGTATGTTTATTACAACATTAACAAAATAAAATTTACAATTTTAATAAATAATCGCATTGTTCGTGAAAATATCTAATCATGGGCATTAGAATGATAAAAGTATCCATTGATCGTTAGGTCTTTCTAATATTTACATCGATCGATCGAACGTTACGTGATTTACTGGATTATTGATTTACCATTATACAAAAGAGGAATTTTGTCTCGAATTTCATTAAATATACAAAATTATTATAAATAGAATTTATCATTGCTAATTTAATTTAATTTAAAGATAATTTATGGTTATGGCAAACAATAAAATTGTGCATATAACAAATAATTGTAATGAATTTAATGGAACTTTGAGTCCATTGTGTTTTTAAATAAATGATATAAACAAATTTGTAGCACGAATGCTTGTTGCATACTCAAAATATGAAAATTTATACTTCTAAATAGAAAAATTAGCATTGGCTTTACAAATAATGTGTTATATTATAATAATAGAATATGAACAAAGTAATGTAATGTAATTAAAATGGTATCGATCTGTTTTACGTTCATAAGAGTAAAGAGGACAAGTCCCTGATAAATTAGTATAATATAAAGTTTCAAGATTATATTAATACTATAATCTAAAGCTAGTTGAAATTACTTTTGCAGATTAAATTAATAATAAACTCAACGTGTATCTAAAGAATGATCGTGTTGAACAAGTCGCAGAGAAATAAGAATTAAATTCATCGTGAAATAATCTGAAAGTTAAATTTTAAAAGGTGATAACTAATCCAAGTAAATTTTATGAAAATTACCGAAATGTACATTAAACATTAACAATTTGACAGAGAATATATTATCGCATACGAGACTATTTGAACTTTCAACTTTGTTATTTCAGTTTCGATCCAACTCGATTTAAGCAAGATTATTAAAGCAAATTGTTTAAATGATCTAATAGATATCGATTAAGCGTATTCGATTAGCATCGGCGAATTCAGCTTCTCAGAAAATAAAAAACATTTCCAACGAATTATTTGTATTTGACAATCGAATAACGGAATCATCATTCGCCTCTCGTTAAAGACAAGATTTTCCGAATCTGGCTGGCCGCGCGCGATCGCTCTCCACTTCATTATTAACCATCCATTAACCAAAAATAAGATAATTTAATTTCATACACTTACTGTAGACAATAAATGTAAAAACTCTATAATCCGATCGTCGGTCGGTGCAAGTAACGAATTCCTACATTCCCTATCTATAACAGTCTTAAGCACGAAATTCTAGTTGAAATTGAATTTGGAAATAATGATGAATGGAGAGAGTAAAAAATCACATCTGGACGCTCATTTCCCTATCCTGGGAATTCATGCAAATGCTTCGGTCAGCCCTATCGGCAACAGGAGTTTTTGGATATTTTTTCGGAGTATTGGGATAGCAAACGGGAGGTGACGTGGCCCTTGATTTTTAGCGGGAGGTTGTCCTCGTTCCCGCTTCTCGTGCCCGCCCCTCCTCGTCTAGTGGATTTCCTATCATTCCGCGGCCGGCGATATTCGGCACACCAGCGTCGCGACGCGCGCACTGTGCGCCTAAAATCGAGCCGTACTAGGCGTCGAAGGCTCTGCGCGCGCGCGTCCAAGGTACACCAACCGAGAGCGAGGGAGAGAGAGGAGGGGAGTCGACTGCACCTGGAGGGAGGCAGGGAATCGGGCGCGCGCGCGCGCACGCCTTCGCAGTCGCATCCAGTCTCCACGGACGCGCGCCCTTAAACGCAGGACATCACGGGACGAGTCATCGAGATAAAAACATAGAGAGAAACAGAGAAGCAGATCGCAATCCAAGGGACGAAGATGAGTCTGTTACTGGAGGACGAGGAGATTGACGAGTGAGTGAGCTTATAATACTTTTGTCAGCTTTGGCGGGTAACGGTGGCCCGAGTGTCACGGGGCCGAGGAACCGCATTTCTCGGGGATGTGGTCGAATATTTGGCGGAGATTGGGGTGCGCAGGGCGTTATCAAGGCCCTCTAGAAAAGCCGACTAAAGGAGGGCGGACGCGAAGGCACACAAGACGCGACGGGGGCCACGTCGTTCCTCGTAATGAATAATTGAAACGGGCGTGCGTGTGCCAACGAGTGAAGTTGGTGGTGGGAGTAGGGACAGCCACGGCGGGATAAGGGGACATATGGTTGAGGTCGAAATTATTTGTAAGTTTGGCGAATATTCCGGAAAATCGCACGTGAGTAATAATTGTCGAATCGTTAAAGTCGTTGGTGTTGGTGGGCTGTGTGTGGGCTCATGGGAGACTTGACAGGGGACTAGTGCGTCGAGTCGTTTACTTATGGCAAACTTTGGGTTGAGGCCGGAGTCGATCGTACGGATAGGGAACATTCATCGATTGTTTTAATGTGACTATACTGCGTGACACTACTTTGCTGTCACTTCCTATGTGGCTGACTTGTCGGCTTCTTACGATTTGACGCACAGTTAATAATTCAATAATCTCGAGAAAGATTATCGAGGTTGGTATAGATTATCGAAATTCTCGAGCTCTTAGTTTAGCTTCAATTCGTTGGCCATTTTTTTAATAAAAACTTTATAACAATATGAGAGCTTAATAGTCATATATTAATAAATATTTGACTAAATTAGTAGCTCGTATTACGCGTTATCGATATTGAGAATTCTAGTGGAAACAAAAAAATGTTTATCTATCATAAAGTTTAATCGCATTAATAAAAGTGTTCGTTCTACAATAGTCGTAGAAAATTCAATATCATATTATTTATTTACTAAATACAAAAAATATATAAAAAAAATATATATATATTATAAATAATTATAAACAAAATATATAAAAATGTATAAAAATATATAAAAATTATTTATTTCCTAAATAAAAAAATAATAAAAAAAAAAAATAATAATATAATATTATATTTATTTGATGAAAATTTAGTTATTCTACTTGATTAATAGCTCACTTTTTATAATATAAATTATTATTTTTGTTATTATTATTTCATTCGTACGTAATTCACAGTTTTATATAAAAAATGTTTAAATAAATAAGCAAATATTTCACTTGAATGCGCATAACGTGCCAGGTACTTTTTTATTGTATATTTATTCCATGTAGTTATACGTATGCATGCAGACACATAGAACACGCATACACACACGCGCGCACCTCATTGAAAAATAGGTATGTATATGAATGTAATGCAAGTTGCTTAATTTGATTAATGTTTTCTAAACAAATATTATTCCAAGACGATAAAACTTATACGAAACAACTTTACCATGCAAATAAATTTATTAAATCAAATATGTCCAAGTTATATCTATGCGAAACATGTATATACATACAACAATTACACACTGAAACAAACACACACACACAAACAGAGAGAGAGAGAGAGAGAGAGAGAGAGAGAGAGAGATGCATAAAGTTGATGTTTGGATATTGTTAAATACATGAAAACACGCATATGCGAGCTTACTCTGCATAAACATCAATATCATATTTTATATTTACATGTATAACAAATGTGAGTAAATTAAATTATTTGATTTAGAAATTCAAATTTGTCTACGCAATTATATCAATACATTGATAATGAATAATTTAAATTTCACGTTTTAATTGATTAGTCTTATAATAGTAATGTAAATAGGAACATATGAATATATTGGTAAATTCAAAACGGAATAAGTACTAATAAAAATTTCGCTTTTATTTTTATATTTAAATTATCCTTTAGAAAATTTTCTTTCTACGTAAGAAAAATAAAATATTCATTCTATTCAACTCTAGTAAAGGCTTTTCAATTTTCTTCTTGGACTAATATTTCACAATAAAGAAATATATATGTCCTTCTCATAAAATATATCACATATCAACACTGCTAATTAATTCTTCTTCAGAGTAGTGAATTTAATTTATCACAAAAATAATGTCAGTAGTTTATGATGATTAATAATAATTCTGCCTTTAAAAATAATTAAATCTCATATTCATCCAATTCAAAATAACTACACAACGATATAATATTTCAATTATTTCACTCGTCACGTTGATACGGTCTGGCTTTAGCAGGTAAAATGCTAATTATTCTTTTCAATATTACAAATATTTGTCAATCAAAATTATCATAAATATTAATGAACTTTTAATAGAGAAAAATAATGGGCAATTGTAGAAATAATGATCGGCACTCTTTTGTATATTCTTAATGTAGAGTATCGTAAAATTTCACTTACAATAATATTACTCTCGTACCAATAAATATGTTTAGCTTTTGGAAGAAATTTGATAAACATCAATTGCGAGCAATAAATAAATATAAATAAAAATAATATGTAGCGTTGGATAAAACTTTTTCTTGTCTGTAGCGCTTTCATTGCCAAAGTTGGAAGTATCTAGAAAAAAAAAGAAGCTGCAAAATACAAGCAAAATCGAATTCTCGCTCAAACAACTCTGCTGATCCCCTATCCTGTGCTGATGAATTATCCTGATGTGCACACCCACGCGCTCACACACATACACAAACGCGCGGGCCCGCGTTTACGCATATTTTATCCATTTGTGGCCATAGAGGTGAAATAGCAATTATCGATCGTGTTAAATGATAGCTGCTTCTCTTTCTATTTTAAGTCTTTCATACTTGTTATTGTACTTCGAGTTAAATACAATGTAAAAAAAGAATCGATAAAAACCATTCGTTTTTTATGTACTTTTTATTGTTGAGTGAATTCTGTTTAGAAAGCTTACTTAAAGAAAGTTTTATGCTTTACGAACAAATGTATACCAAAGTAAAACCAAATTGCTTATAATAAAATAAAAAACACTCATACGGTGTGTACATTATTTTCACCAATTTCCAACGGTATTACTTTTAAAAAGGTGTATAAAATTTTTGATTTAGCTATGCCGAAATTAAGGAATAAACCGAACATTTCATCTTAATGATCGATGAAATTGCATACGAGAATTCCATATAAAATTATGTAAGAAAATATATAAATATTTGACACGTTTGGTCCTTATTAAAGAATTATTATTCTCTTTGATAGAAATAAATAATGCGCCTGAAAAGCATTAGTGGTGCATACAATTTTTATTAAACAAACAAAATGGAAGGCATTATGCTATGATAAATTGCTCAAATGATAAAGAATTTTAACAAAAAAAAAAAAAAAAAAAAAAAAAAAGGCACAAAGGGATTATTTTTATTCATTATTTTAAATTATGATTTTCAATGCAATTTTTACGATACAACTTTATTTAAAAATTTTCTCATACTAAAACAAGTTAAAAAATATAAGCTCTGAGTCATAAAATCAAAATAATAAAAATTTTCTGCCCAATTGAAATTTAAGCATTTTTATTCGGAGATTTATGTTTTATAAACAATTAAAAGATGAAAAAAGCCATAAAGTATAACGTAAATATTATAATATACATTTGAAATTTTATATTTTCATCCGTCATAATTTTAGTGCATAAATTTTCCAATAATATGTATTATTATTCAATTATAATGAGAATTACATTTTTTTCTTCAATACAGCTGATTTATCATACGAAATTTTGATTAAAACAAAAATGCTAATTTCCTACCAATATAAATGTTTAATAATCTTTATTATAATTATGATATTATTCTACGATTCAAAGCCATTTCCTTCACTACATTCTGTATAAATTGAATTCATTACATTCGCACAAAATAATAACACGAATCAAAATAGTTAATATTAATAATTTAATATAAGTATCGCGAGAAGAACAATTATGTACATAAATTTATTTCTTTATTTATTCGTATGAACGGATAATAGAAAATTATATTCAATATTGGTTGGATTATATGGTTATTTATATTGTTAGTTTATGAAATAATTTTAAAAATAAGCTTAATTTTCGCATGAGAGACTACTTCTGCATATTCTAATGAAGTACCTTTTGTTAAAACGAAACTCTATTTTCTCTCTTAGTTTCGTAAACATTAGCTTTCCAATATCTATTCTAAAGAATACAGTTACTTTAACAAATAGAATAAATTTTTACAACTTTTTCATAAAGTTAAGTTTGTGAGTAAACTTTTTATTGGAAAAGTCGAATCAATTTAAGTATTGAATTTTCTATTAAACTAATAGAAATTTCATTGAATTTAAGTAAATCGTATAAAATACACTTCCATTCGCAAAACATTAGTTAATAAAAAGTGAATTTTAATTAAATTAAAATATTACCACTACATACCTATTTGATAAAAAGCAAACAATCCCCTAATGTATTGTAACTAATTGTAATTGCAAATATTGATAAAAATACTATTTAAATCTAATTCAATTAATGTATAATTAGATTCAAGAATTGCTTTAGTGAACAGAAATTCTCGCAGTTTGTAAATAATTCTCCTCCAAAGCTGTTTCACAAATTACATTATGACAATTATAAATTATATTAATGCCAGTTTCGATAATTAAAAGGATCGAGCTTCAGTCATAAATAAAAAATAATTTTGTAATTAAAATTTTAGAAAAGAATTTCCTTATAACAGAGCACAAGTAGAATTTTATTTATAATTATCATTAGAGTTTGAGATTGATACGGTAGAGTGAAACGCTAATGTGGCAATGTCCTTCCTTATTTTTCCGTGTTTCTACTATGATAAATAATAACGTCGCGTAACAGTATAAACAAAACAAAAAAAAAAAAAAAAAAAAAAAAAAAAAAAAAAAAAAAAAAATAAGTAAACATTATTCAACGGTTATAAATCATAAACTAATATCTCCATATGATCTAGATCTAGTAGATGCAGATCTAGTAGATGCGCAAGGAGAGTAAACGATGGCATTATAAAGCAGCAGCGCTTAAA